AAGGGCAATTGAGGTTCTACAGAGGAAGTGAAAGGTGAGATATTGTAATGGGTAAAATGTAAAATCTTTGGCCTAAGACAAAGGTGGGGAACATGAGGCCTTTCAGAAGTTGGTGGATTGCCAGCTCCCATCAGCCCCAGACAGCGCAGCTAATAGCCAAGGGAATGATGGGAGTTTTGAGTCCAGCAACATTTGAGGAGGTGGTGTCACATGTTCAATGGATTTACCCCAAATGGGAGTTATGCGATTATGGCTTAAATTTCACCTGGTGTCATGGCTGACTGATGCCAATTAAAAGTATCTCAGAAGACGAAATGTAAAGAAAAAGAGGGTACCTTTTATCATATGTGGTGGACCTGTCCCAAGATGAAAGACTTCTGGGAGAAGATTAATAATGAATTGAAAAAAATGTTGAAATATATATTTATTAAGAAACCAGAGGCCTTTCTTCTTGGAATAGTAGGTTTGGAATTGCCCAAAAAAGATGTTAGATTGTTTTTGTATGCCACAACTGCAGCTAGAATTTTGTTAGCTAAGAACTGGAAATCACTAGAAGTCCCGACAGTGAAGGAATGACAGATGAAGATGATGGACTTTTCGGACCTAGCCGACCTGACTGGAAGAGTCCGTGACCAGAAGGAGGAAGAGTACCAGGAGGAATGGATGAAATTCAAAGATTATTTAGTTAAATATGCTAAGATAACTTAATTGGAAAAACTTGCAAATATCAGACAGGCTTAGGATTTAATTATGTGATGTTAGAGAATAATATGTTTAAAGTCAAAATGAAAACAAAGTAAGATGTTAAGTGATTAAGTTAATTTTATGAGAAAATTGGTTTTGGAAAACTGTTACAATGATATACTTTGAAATTCAGCCAGGGGGATTTGAGGAAGTCACTTAACAATGTTACTAAAATTGGATCAAGTACAGTTAAGATGTATGTTTGTTTGTCTGTTCAAAATTTTTGGAAAACCAATAAAAAAAATTAGGAAAAAAAAGTATATCAGAAGACTGCTACATATGCTACATTAAATGTTTCTGTATAGGAAAGTATGACACATTATTGCTTATACTGATTGCATGTATTTCTAGGTACTGGTGGAGAAATTGGAACCAAAGGCATTACAGTAATTTAGTGTGCATGCAGCAAAATGCACATTATGGTACATGCAGATGGAATTTTATTTCCTATGTAAAAAAAAGCATAAAATTGTAAGTCATTGAAAATTTGGGGCTTACCTCCATCCACCACATCCATCATCATTAGTGCCAAGGCTCAGCCCTGGAACAAGTGAGGGAGAGGCAATATTGGTCAGTGCCTCTGAGCCTGGGTAGAGTAGTCAAATGGCCACTACTTAACCCTACACACCTGGAACTAGGAAGAAGCACATCTAAGCACGTCTGTCTAACTCTGCTGGGGACCCTGATAGACCACAACTAACTAGATGGTATAGGGATGCACTGATGCATCCAGTGCTGCTGAAATGTCCTTATAAGCAACTGCTCAGCTTATTAGAAAATGTGTGATATTCTTTTGTTGTAGCATAATGGAAGAAATTGCTATCAGAGGGTATAGTGAAAGAGCTTTGAACATGAGCATGTAACATTTTCAGGTCTGATTTACCTGCTTGAGTGTATGTGTAGATCAAAGCTTTCCAAACTGTGTGTCACGACATGTCTCTGTCTTGGCTGCAGTGTGTAGGTGTGTCGCGCAAATGCTCCCCTCACACCTCCCTGGTCTGGAAAGGGGTTAGTTCAACCTCTGGTTTGCTATTAAAACTGAATTACTGTGTCCTAAAATGATGCATGTCTAAAAAGTGTGTCACCAACATGTAAAGTTTGGAAAGCTCTGCTGTAGATAGATCTTAGCTTGTGTATTCATTATCTTGCTCCACATCACACATCTAAATAAAGGCACACCTCCTCCACTCCTTCTTCCTCTCCACTATCTTGCCTGAAGCTCAGTGGGGCTTAGCAACCCACCCTGATTATCGCAGGATAACAGTGATCAACTACTCAATGTTTAAAATGTTTTCTGAATGAGAAATGTACTTTGAGAACTACCACAATCCTTTGGGGTAGTGTTTCATTTTTGTTTGGGACTGAGGGTATGTTTTCCAGATGTCTTTATTTTATAGGACATTCCAGATGTTAGAATTCTAATGCTCCAAAGTGCAATCCATTCAACGTTCTGTGTATTACCATGGAAATGATACCCAATACCATCAGATCAGCTCTACTGGGACACAGAGAACAGACACATAGGGTCAACCCACGGAGTCTTGTTTCTTTCATTATTTGATCCTTGAATCTCTGAGTATTAACTCAGATTTTGCTCCATAGAACTAGTTACTTTGTTAAAATTAGTATTATGAAAATATTGGATTTTAGGGGGGAAAGCCTTATTTTAAATGAAGGTCAACTGGATCTTGGCAGCACATCTGACCCTATATTTACTTAGAAATAAGCTCAAATTGCGCCAGAACTTGGATTGCATGCAGTAGAACAACCCTCTTAGACTGAAACCAGCTGGTTGAGAGACCACATTTAGGCCAGGGGTGAGGCATTTTGGCCTTCCAGGTGTAACTAGGCTACAACTCCCAGCATCCCTGATGGTTGGCTATGCTGGCTGGTGTTGATGGGAGTTGTGGCCCAACAATATCTAGAGGGTCACAGGTTCCCTACCACTGCCCATGCATCCTGCTTAGAGCTCCCTCTTCAAAGACACAGAAGGCTGAAACGTGAGGGCGATCTGGCTGCAATATCTGTCACCCCACTGATCACCAGGGTTGATTTGGCTGATCTGGCTGGCTAGGCGGGTGTCCCCTCCCTCTCTCACCGCTCCATGTGCTTCCCTCCTGAAGCTGCACACTCGGTGGAAGAGGATGAACATCCCAGATAGAACAAGTGTTCTTCGGTCAAGCGTACAGTATACAATAGCTGTGCTCCCCTGCATAGAACCTCCAAACAAGACCATGTCCCCTTTTGAGATGAATCTACTATTAAGAGCTAAAGAGCTGAACTAGACCAGAGCAAGGGTCCGTCTAGCCCAGTATCCTGCTTCCAACAGTGGCCAGTCAGCCAGATGCTTCTAGGAAGCAGGGCAATCAAGTTAGTGGTTCTTCTTCACAGTTTGCTTTCCTTGCACCTAACACTAAGAGGCATATTGTGCCTGAAGGTTGAGGTTCAATTTAGGTGGCAGAGCTAACAGCTGGTTTTAGGCTAATCCTTCTCCATGAGTTGGTCTACTCCTTTTCCAAAGTCAGATGACTTTGTGCCAGACAAGTTCTGATGGTAGCAGATTCCATGTGTAGAATCAGGATTGCCACCAACTCCCTATAAATCCTGGGGTAGACTGGGTGATTTCATTGGTGGGAAAATAGGAACTAAACCCAGCCATGTCCCACTCACCCTTAAAAAAATGTTTCTTCTGTTCAAACAACCTCAGCCAGGAGAAAACTAAATGGGGCACAGAGAGGATGAGGGGTCTGCTCCTTTTTTTTGCATAGCTGTCAACTTTCAGATTTGAAAATAAGGGATCAGCAGCCTTGAAAATAAGGGATCAGCAGCCTCACCTGTCCCGGGGACAGTCTACGGGATATCTAATAATCCGGGATAGCAGCGGGAAACGGCGCTGGAATAAGGGAATATCCCGCAAAAAAAGGGAAGGTTGACAGCTATGTTTTTTGGGTATGCTGTGCTTTACATCTCCTCCCTCTTCAGAGGAATCTGTAAGATACAGACAGAGTCCTAAAGTCAGCATCATGTCTGGCTGCAACCAAAAGCAGTGGCCTGCCACCAGGAGAACATTCATGCTGAATCAGGCTGAGGGCTTATTTAGTATAGCGTCCCATTGTCATTGTGGCCAGCCAGGTTCCTGTGGCAAACCATTGCAAGAACATGAAGCATATCAGGACTCTCTCCACTTTTTTAAAAAAGTTTTTATTAAAGGTTTTCTTGGGTTACAAAAGTATTTACAGAGTCTCTGTTTTCCATTCATAGAATCTTTTCTACAGATCAATTATATTTGATGTGAGACACTAATGTTGTAGACACTCTTCCCCATTTGTGAACACCAACAAATGGTATTCCGAGGCATCCTGCCTCTGACAGAGGAGGGAAAACATTCTAGTGAGTCGCCATTAGTAGCGTTATCCTCAATGAATTTCTAGTGCGCCTTTAAAGCCATCTTTGGGGAGTCAATTCCAAAAAAAATATTTATCTGAATCTACTCCCAGTCAGTTTCATTGGGTAACCCAAATTCAAGTCTTAGAGGAGAAAGAAAAAATTATTTCCTTCATTTATAATTTAGAGACTTTTATCATTTCCCCTTTCTTCTAAAGCAAAACACTCCAAAACGTTTAGCCTTTCCTTGGAACGAATGTGCTCCAACCCACTTGGGTGAACCTTTTTCAAAATTATTATTTTAACAACATCCTTGTTGGGAAGGGCGGGAGAGAATCAGAACTGGGCTTCAGTTAATTCCGCGCAGGGGACAGCAAGAAGAATTTGTAGAGCCGGACACGCACCACGTACTACTTGAATAAATGAGAATTTGCGGGAAGGGGCCAGCGCGGGAGGCCACCTCACTTTCCCCGCGCCCCGTGGGAGGGTCATGCCTGCCTCCCAACATGGTGGAGGTGTGCATGGGAAGGCGGGCGCGCGCGCGCTCTCGCTTGCTCCAGCCCAGGCTGCGGCTCCTTTGTGTCTCTCCCTCTCCCGGAGAAAAGGGCTGGGGCGCTCGCTTGCAGCCTAGGCAAAGAGGAAGCGTTATGCCAGGAGGAAAGGGTTGGGGGGAGAGAGGGAGGGAGCAGGAGGAATCCCAGCCTCCTCTTTGCCGCGTGTGTTTGTAAGTAAGATCAATGGAGCTGCAGGCTCCCCCCACCAGCGCCAGGCGGCCTGCTTACTGCAAGGCGCGCACGCGCCCCACCCACCCGGGGCTGCAGCTCCATTCCACCCAACCCTCTTACACCGCCGCCTCCTCTTCTCCCCCCCCCCACCGCGCACCCGGGGCAATTACCTGTCTGCAAGCCCCGCCCCCGCGCTGATTGACGGCCCGGATCACGTGGGGGAGGGAAGAGGAGCAGGAGGAGGACGCCGGGGCGGGCGCTCGCACCTGGAGCTGGAGGGGAGGGGAAACCGGACGGGGATGCGCTCGGCTGGGGCCGCCGCTACCGCCACCAGCTCGTTTTGCGCCGCTGCCGCCGCCGCCGCAGCAGGCCGAACCCAGCTCCTGCGCCCGGTGGAGGGGCCATGGTGGCTGCTGCCCCTGCTGCAGCCGCGGCCATGAGGAAAAGCTTCCTGGTGCCCGAGATCAAGCCCTTGGATCAGTATGACTTCCCTCGGGCGCGCAGCGCCGCCAGCCTGGCCTGGGTGCTCGCCAAGGGCTACGGGGGTGCAGGTACGGCGGGAGCCCCGCGCGGGGAGGGGAGCGGGGAGCCCGTCGGCGGGGTCGGGGTTTCTTTCCCTTCCTGATCTCCCTTCCGAGGAGGAGGGGCGGGATCTCCAGTGGCTGCGTGTGAGTTAAGGAGAGAGGAAGCCGTGATTCCCGTCCCCCCCCCCCGGTTTGTGTTTCTTCTGCCTGCTCCTCCCCGGCTAGGATAATATGTCCGCCTCCCCATCGCGCTCGGCTCCGTGGGATGCCCTACCTGCTATAGCACCCGGGGAGGGATGGGATGGGGTGGGCTGCCTTGGCAACCAGCCCTGCTGCTTCCATCCCACCCTTTCAGCGCTAACAATGGGCTCCGCTCGGTCGCCGCCTTCTCGACTAGATAGCCCGGGTGGGGCTGAGGTGGACGGGGGGGGGGAAGACTTGAGTCTGCTCCTTTCTTCCTGGCGAGGGTCGCCTAATGTCTCTCCCCACGCAGGTGCCGGGCTTCCCCAGGTGTGGACGGAGCTGTGATTAGGAAAGGGGAATTGGCGTCTGGGCTGGGAAGGCGCCTTTTTTGTGGGTCGAAGTGGAGCGTGTGAGGGGAGGGGGAGGCTGCCATGATAGCGGAGGGGTGGGTAGGTGTTCTGCCATGTCTGCTGCAGCTCCTTTGCTAAGAGCAGCCCTGGGTAAACCTCAGCCCCCCTCCCCTTCACTAAGCTCAATTCCTCCCTGGCTTTTTGTGTTGCCTTTTGTGAAGAGTGTTGGCAGCACCTGCATGACTAGCATACTGTTAGGTGAGATCAGAGCCGAAACATGCTCTTCCCTGGGGTCCAGCTGGTCTGCGGAGCCTGAGGGTGTCAGTGCCGCCCCACCCTGCTTAGTGACAGCATTCACTGGCAGAAGCCGAGAGCAGGGCGCTGCTGTTGGTGTTTACCTTTGCTAAGTGGCATTATTTTGTGGCGTTAAATTCCTCCAGGGGAAGCCCTGCCAATGGGTGCCACCAGCACGGCCCCAGCTGTGGAGCTGTATTCTGAGGCTAAGCTGTGGCAGCTGGAAGGCAGGGGGAAGAGAGAGATGGGAGGTAACTAGTGAGGCTTCTGGGCTTGTACTTGATCCTCTGGTTTTGCCATCTCAGGAAGGACTACTCAAGGACCAGTTTGCATCCTTAGCTTGGTCCTCTTCAGCTCCTTGGCAATGCTGGGCCCAGGACTGTGCTCCTTTCCTTGGCAACCCTGGGCTCTCCCCGCTGTTCCCTTTGTCTCTGCCAGGCCTGGAATTAATGTTCTGTGAGGATTTGCAGATTGGCGTTGCTTTCATGCATGATGGAGGAGGAGGAGGGGAGGGGGGAGCAGACAATCCCTAGTGGGGGATTGACCTTCTTGCTGTTGCTTCATAGAAGTGTGTGCTCTTTGTCGCTGCTCTGGTGCCCCTGCTAACCCAGATCCCTCTCCTGGCTTCGCCCTCCCTGCTGCCAAAAGGGTGGTGGGCAAGCCTGTGCGCTTTGTGTTCATTGAGAAGCCATGCTTCCTTTGCGTTGCTCCACAACTGTCCAACTTGTAAGGATTTGCAGAGTAGGGGGAAAGCGTTCTTTGGATGAAGTAGCCTAAGCACGACTTACATGGTAAGGTGGAGGTGTGGGTAAGTGAGACGGCCCTTGACAGTGGCTTCTAAAAGTATAAGGAGCTCCATGTTGCTGGCATACCTGTAGACAGGAGGCTACCAGCTAGTGTGTGACAGGCCTTCCTCATTGTGTATGGGCTGCTATGGGGAAGAGAGGAGAGGATGACAACAACGGGTGTTCCTCTGAGGCTGTTGACCTGAAAGTAACATAATAGGGTTTGAAGCCTGCTGGTCCACAGCCAGCTCCGGAGCTGGGAGCAACAGGAATGGCTTGCTAGGTTGTGTGACAATGAATAACTAGAGTCTCTCCCTCCCTCCCACAACTGAGGGCCTTTTTGCCCAGAAGCTGTTTTCTTCTTAGAGACTAAATGTACCCTGCTTCTGGGTTGAGGTGAGAACCACCATTCCGTGAAGCAACAGGAGGACAGTGAATTGCTGTGCTTGGTGGATATTGAAGTGCCTTGTGTGTGTGTTTCTGTGTGTGTATTCACAGGGGTGTATTTGGATGACCAGTTCTTCATTTGGAGTTAGTGTAAATATAGGATCTGGTCAAGCCCAAGTGAGAACAGGTTCCCCTTGTCCCTGCCCTTCCTTGTCACCCCGATGACACACCAAACAGTACACTTTAGTGGTGGAAAGGAGAGAGCCTTGTCATTTGCCTTGGATGGAGGCCAGGGTGATCAGCCTTGCTCAGCCAGTGCTGGGTTCAAAGTCTAGTGAAGTGTGTCGAGAATGTGCTTGCTAGGGTTTGCCATAGGTTTCCGAATAGAGCCTGAAAACCCCTACGGCTTGCAAGGCAAGCCTTTATGGAAAGGGCCCCTGCTTGCCTCACGTCAGAAAATGCACATGGCACTGCTAGCATCTGCTCCTGAAATAAGCTACTGGTCATGGTGGGAGTCATCATTCGGCCTCAAGCCAGGGATTTTGTGCGACTGCTATGTGATCTAAAGGCACAGTGTGGGGGCTGTAGAAAGTTAATGTGAAATGGCAAAAATATACATGGCAGTGGCTTTTTCAAGTTTTACACGACTAAATTTTAAGTAATTTCAGTATGCATTTGAAAATAAAGATCTGCAAGTGAAACTGAGTGCCAGCTTGCTTTACTAGACACACTGCTGCCTTCATTTATTTCTTCACCAATAAGTAAAAGAGCCAGATGCTTTTAATTTACTGAAAGCCAAATGAGGAAGGGACTTGGAATTCCCTCAGCCCAACCTGTAGCTACAGGGCCTGTGATCCAGTGCTACGTATTACTCAGCTGATACATCCGGCAACTGGTCCCTTTACCATAACTGGGTCAGGAACTGGCTAACCTCTGCTAGGTGTCCTGATTGGCATTGCTGTGTTTGTTGCACACCCAAAGTAGTTGCTAGTAATTATGTGCAATGTTGTAGCACCCTGAGGTTAATTCCCTATATTACTTGTGATCTCCTTTGTGTTCGTCCACAAACTGGGGTAATCCCCACCCTCAAGGGTTTGTGGCAAAGGGTGGGGCAGGAAATGGAGGAGGAGTGGGAGTGACCAGAGTGAGGCTCACCAGCTGAGATAGGTGTACACATGCAAATGGCGCTGTGGTCTAGACCACTGAGCTTCTTGGGCTTGCCGATCGGAAGGTCAGCAGTTTGAATCCCTGTGTCGGGGTGAGCTCCCGTTGCTCTGTCCCAGCTTCTGTCAACCTAGCAGTTCGAAAGCATACCAGTGCAAGTAGATAAATAGGTACCGCTGTGGCGGGAAGGTAAACAGCATTTCCATGTGCTCTGGCACTTGTCATGGTCCTCCGTGCTCCAGAAGCGGTTTAGTTATGCTGGCGATATGACCCCGAAAGCTGTCTGTGGACAAACGCAGGCTCCTTTGGCCTGAAAAGTGAGATGAGCATCACACCCCATTTTGACTGGACTCGACCACCCAGGGGTCCCTTACCTTACCTTTACACACCTATTGCTTGGCTAGTGGGAAGGGTCCTAGCTGAGTGACAGAAGCATCTGCTTTGCATGTAAAAGATCCTGTGTTCAATCCCTGGTATATTGATGTAGGACTGGGAGAGATTGCTGCCCAAAGCTCTGGAGAGCTGCTGCCAGTCAGTGTGGAGAATACTGAGCTAGATGGAACAATGATCTCAGTATAAGGCACGTTTCTATGTTCCTGGTAATCCAGTTAGGAGAACTGAGCCCTGCTCTCCCATTAACCGCTGATTCAGTTTCACTTGCCGTTCTGTAGGTTAAACAGGTGTGGCTGTCTGGATATTGACTCCTGTCTCACCTTCGCCCAGTGGCAAGTTCTTCCTCTACCAAAGACACCAAGAATAAAGCAAAATCTCAACTCATGGGCAGCTTATTCTTGCATTGCTCCCTCAGCCAAACTGTACCCTGGTCTGTAGTGCAGGCATGCGAAATGAAATGTTGCCCCTTTCCCCCAAATGGCGATTTATATACAAATCAAACCCAGCTAGTTTCACCCAGTCCTGAGCCATAGCGGATGCTTTTTGCACTTTAGCAAAACTACCCGGAGTCTTCTTGAAACCACAGAATGGAAGGCCTAAAATGTGATACACAAAGCCCAGTATGGGAGAAGAAACAACATTTAAGGCAGCGGGATGGAAGATGCATGGGTACAGCACTGCTCTGTACTTCAATGTCCCAGGTACATGAATGCTTTCTGCCCCCCTAGAAAGGCACGTGAGGCTTGGATCATCTAGTTTAACTCAGTCCTTGCCTGGTGTTAGTCAGACAAGATGTTTCAGAGACCAGCCTGGGCAGCTTGCTCTGCTGTCCATTGTTCTGTAAATCCATTTTGTGGCAACTGGGACCCATGGCTATTTATCATTCCTGGTTCTGGTGAATGGTGGCTGTACCTATTCTTCGGGTGGTTCTTAATGTTTTATTCCTAGTATATGGCATTTGGGACTGCAGAGTTCAAGGCCCCGCTTGGCTTCGGGGAAATCATCATCATCATCTATCAGCCTAACAAACCTGACACAGTGAGGATAAAATGGGTGAACCCATGAACACTGCTTTGTGCTTCTTTTGGGAGGAGACACGGCTTAGAAATGCAGATAAGTAAGTGACATATAGCTGTCTTATATCAGGCACCCCCAAACTCGGCCCTCCAGCTGTTTTGGGACTACAACTCCCATCATCCCTAGCTAATAGGACCAGTGGTCAGGGATGATGGGAATTGTAGTCCCAAAACAGCTGGAGGGCCGAGTTTGGGGATGCCTGTCTTATATGAAAAAAGAACAGGATAAAAACCTTCCTTTTCCACCTGTAAAATGATTGTCTTCTTTAGCCTTTCTATATATATTATTTTGCTAGCCCTTCAAAACATTCCTCTGAATCTTGCCCTTGTGTTCCTAGAAGGTAATCTCTAAGTAGAACCTTTTACTACTTCTTTGTGGTTTGCTTCAGTGAGTG